GTATGATAAAGTGAGCATTAAAATTAACAAGTCCATAAGTTATGAATAAGCACTGTTATTACTCAAAACGTCATCAGCCACATTGGTCAATTTTACAGCCATATCATAATCAGCCCCTCATTCACAGAATGTTCACTTTGTCTGGTTTTGTTGCAGCATGCCCCATATAATAATTTATTCATTAATATACTTAATAAAGTATTTGTGATTAAACACCAATATTTTAACAGCACTGTTAAAACAGACTGTAATTGCTACTCGTACATTTTTGGGATATGAAAGTAACTTTTAAATAAAACAACAAGTAATAGTAATGAATTAATTGTAAATTTACTTCTATACATATTAATATAGTGAATTTTTTCTATCTCCCTCATAAGCCTACAAAACTGTGCTTATTAGTTGAAGTTAGGGTATTAAACTTGCCCAATGTTCTTATTATTATTCTTAAGCCTTACACGTACTTCTTATTCTAGGCTCAAGTACCAAATATTTCATAAACTCTATTTATATCAAACAACGTTTTTCAATAACTCTATGATTGCTTTGTTATGTATGACACATAAACGTGTATGTCTCTGAGTAAACACTTAAAGCATTTTCAAGTCATTATTATTTGTATGAAATTTTATCTAGCTTTTTAAATCAAATGTAGAGTAATTTATTAGTTGTAGTTGATGTGGCTATTGATTTTCAAATTGAATTTAAGTTAATTCAGAATTGCATTCTCTTCTTTTCATCAAACATTGTAACTCATGTTCTCAGTTTTTAGAGACTAAATTTTTATCTTGTCATGATATGATTCTCAGCATGTTTGACTTCAGTTTTCTTAATCTCAGTCACGATATGAACATTCTGGTTTTTGAACTAATGAAATGCTACAACAAAGCGGGGGTATACTAATACGGAGTCACCAACTACTTCACATGTAATATTAATATTCTATAATATTTAAAATCATATTTTAACAATTTTGGTTTTTGCACTTCGGATTGGCACAAACCAGTATGTATGATCAAAAAGCTATTCAAAGAGTGCACTCTTCTTTAAAATAGCATTTAGTTTACTTTTTACGCATTCTTCCAGCGAATTATAACAGCCATCCACATCCCTTCCTCAGCTGCGAATGTTTGTGGATTGTCATTGTTTACTTATTAATTGCTAATTTTCCTTGTTTACTTATATGAGAAATTAATGTGAGCAGCGGTTCGAACTCCAACGTCTAAAACCCTCAATAGTAGTACACGCGCATCCTGTTGGGTCTGAAAAAAAGACAACGGGGCTCTGCCGGGAATCGAACCCGGGACCTCCAAGACCCAAACTTGGAATCATACGACTAGACCACAGAGCCATTTGTTGTTCACTTAGATGGTAATTAAAGTAATAAAGTAATATTAAGATGTTCAAGTAACAACCATTAGCCGATTGCCTTATCTAAATCCTTTATTTGGCAACATTCACATTTCTAAATAACTAACCATTAGTTCCCATTAACAACTTAGTTTATTTATTCCGTAATATTATAACTGTACAACCACCACCCATAGTTCAGAATCTATGAACATATTAATTAATTTGCGATCAGAAACTTTGCATATTAATATGAAGTTGGAATGCGTCACTAATGAGCGGATAGGCTGCTCCGTAACATTAATATTGTCTTTGCATGCGTCCGTTAGACGAAACCACTGTCACAAGCATGCGATTATACGGTCCCCGAATCCTGTCATTTATAGAATGCGTAATCAAATGAAAGATCATTAGCCAAGTACAAATAAATAGCAAAGAGCAAAGAGCAAAGAGCAAAGAGCAACCAAACCAAGGCCCTTCTAAAGACTCTTGTTACCAAAAAACCCACTTTGCGCTTCCGACTAGCCGTGATTAGTCGTTAATTTGAAGTATTGCATCACCAACGTTATCTGTGCTACTGCTTTCAAGAGAGGTCTCTGTGTTGTCTAACGGTTTGATAGAATATAAATAATCAATTAACAATCGAGATTGCATATATATATTTATACCAATAAATTCTGCGTGAGAGGCTTAAGCTAGACTGAATGTTAAATCTAATTTTCATCCCCTTTGTAATCGTAGGAACTATTTGTCATATCCTTCAACATATTATTTAAAGCCCACCCATTGTTTTTTTGTCTCGTTCGTATCACATCCCCAAATAGCTCGCCTGCCACCAATTACACCAACTTCTTCAACGCCTTTGTATTATGAATCACCCCAATTCAATCACTATTTTCACTACTTTCTCTCAGTAATGTAGTAGAATCCACAACAATATCACGAAGATTACCATTATGTCTCACGAGATCTGAATGATGCAGCCGGTGTTTGAATGGAAGGTGAGATTGACGAGATTCGAGCGTGTGGTAGTATTGTCTGTAAGAGAAGTAAGCAAAGACTAGGCCTGGTTTCGAAAAACGTGTTGAGCAATAGATTGTCAAAGGAAAAAAGAAATAGAAATATCAACCGTAAGCAACAAATTATCAGAAAAAACTTTTCTCCCTTTCTCCAACACATTCCACCTTTTGCGTACCAATTATTCCTCCAACAGTAATATCTTGCCAATGATGCCTATAATCCTCAGTACGCGAAATCGCGATCAGTGCAGCGCCAATAAGCGGAAGTGTAATCACCAGTGATTTGTAAGTGTGTCCTTTTCTGTCAAAAACGTGAAGTTTTCCGGCGAGATAAAGGCTCAAGTAGCCCAGGCCTGCAAAGGAAGCTAATAAAAGAGGGATGAATATAGGATGGAGGAAAATCGTAATAACGTACGAGTTAGAACAGAAAGTCAATAGTGAATCAAAGAGTTATGTTCGAATTATCCAGCCTATCCTGGCCCCCAATACTTACTCGATGAATGCCCAGATGGCATACTCTTGTATCCATCATTCATAATATATTTATCCGTTTGTGTGCAGATGGTCGAATTACTAAGCCCGAAAACAGGGTCATCCTGAGATCCCGCTACGGGTTGACATCTATCGATGAAATCTGGTCTCGGACGACCAACAGCAGTCTGGATTGAGGGTAGGAAATTGCGGTGAGAAAAAGAAAAAGAGTGCATGAAAGCAAACGTACGACATGTTGGCGCTACACTTGATTGATAAGACTATCCTAAACGCCTTTCTAACATTTCATCTGATTTCCAATAAACTTTTTTTTCCCCCCTCCCAAACGAGCAACACAAATTTCCTCATCTCCCATTCCTGATCAATACAAACCTTTATGGCTTCGGTCACCATTATAGTAAGTGTAATAGTAAGACATAAACCCAATAGTCCGTGATGTAAGTCATGAAGACTGCGTCTGAAAAACACTGCAATGACTGAAATTACCGCTGCTGGAAGTATAACGGCTAATGCCTGAATAGGATCGCAGATGACAAAGAAGAATGAGATGGGGGGAAAGGCAAGATACGCTTTGTTAATGAAATCTTCAACTCTAGAGTATGATATAAACACACTATATGAGTCACTCAACATACAAAACAAAGCCATAATGGAACTCTCTCGTGCTCGGCAAAGGGATATTGTATACTTTTATCTTCTAGTGAAAAGCGTCTATTAAAGGGAGTCAGGAGAGCATTTGTCACGAGAAACGTGACCATAAACAGCGCTGCTAGAGTCCAGCTGGAGGATAACGGGGCGGGGTTGAGAGAAAATCGAGTCAATACGGCAAAATTTCAAGTTACTCTCTCTAATTTCATTCTCGTTAAGCTCACTTACTCTATCGCGTAAGAGGCTATTAATTCCCTTTTGGTGTATTTTGCCATGTTGCAATTTCTCAAGCGGGAAGACGATAATCAAACTGGAAAAAATATCTATTTAAATTTATATTATTTTTAACCAAAAACGAATAATAAGATAAGAAGTTACACCAGAATGCTTAATACAGTAAGAGTAATTAGATTAATACGATCGATCGTTGGTTCATTTTGTATAATCTGCTGACATGCCCAGGCAGGGGCTGTGCAAAGTTCTGTGCCAAGGAATGTTATTGCATGCATACCCCGTGATAATGTTGGAAACCCGACTTCGGCCATAGTTCGTGCATTACCAATATTATTCGAAAAGCTCATACGGGTTAGCATGGCATGGCATGGCATTGTATGGAAGGAACGCCAAAAAGTCTCAAGTTAGTCTGCATTTTCGAAAGAATGGTTATTTAACAATGCGTTAAGGTCGGCTCAACCAAATATGCTAATTAGAATTTATATTGCGCCAACTAGTGTAGCAGGCTTATTCTACTATTGTAGCTTAAACCAAAGCCATTTAATACTTCTACTTTCATTGTGGTGCTTGTTACCAAATACAGGACTTCAATATCATCGTATAAGTACAACTTGTATAGAATGTTTATGTATCATATGCTCAGGTTGACATAATAATATTACAATGCTTATTGCAACTGTGAAGGAAAGCAGGAAGCTATCTTTTACATGTAATTGGTAAATTCAAGAGTGGCTTTGGTTGCTAGCCTCCCCCTCAAAAGTGTTTGGCGGTTAGTAATCAAAAAAATATAATACTATTACTATTGTAAGAAATACGATTAACTATAAATGATAGCATTAATAACAGTATAAATAAACTAAGATTTACATACCCCATTGTCAAACGCTAATTGCATGGTGTGACAAGATACCATAAGCCTCATCGTAAGATCCTGTCATTATTACAAAGTCTACGATCATCAGCATTTGTGGCAAGACATTTCTTAAACGTTGCATTTGATAATAAAATGATATATTCTCTGAACAGATTGCAGTTAAAAGATTAAGAAGCCTAAACCTGTAAAACAGATAAAATAATAAAATATGAAATAAAAATTGTATGCTTTACATCCAATTCTAGATCTGTATGTGTTCAAATTCATATCGGGATTATTAGTTAATGTTTTATTTTTCTCTTTCGCCTTTAAATTAATGTCAACGCCCATTGTAAGGCCAAAATGAAAATCGCTGAAAGTGACCAGGGATAGTTTAATGTCCAATATGTATATCGTTTATTATATAAATAGTAATCTAATAATTGTACAATATGGAAGAAACGCTCGGATTAACGAACGAAATTCGAATTGCGAAGATAAATATTGAAGATGATCGTGAGATGTCGTTTGCCAGGGAAATTAATATTGCTTAAATTTCTCTTTTAAACTGTTCTATGTTCAGGAATTAAATAATCGAGTGGGAAAATTTTGTCCCGATTTGGCTTACTTTCTGCGTGTGTGAATATTTCGCTGCTGCTTTGTGTTTGGTAGGTATTAATATATCGCGGCTCTCGGAAATGTTGTACCGCGACCGTATAGCAGAATACTCATTCATAATACAAAGTGCAACACACACAAATGAGGTATCTTACAACCTAAGCGAATGAAGACCGAGATATTAATATATGAATAAACCGCATGTATAATTTACAAAAGCCGATGATCATTATGACTTACCATATTACAGAATAACACATAACTGTATTATTGTGGGTTAAGCATATAGTAAATGTTTGTTCCAATAGCAACATTGTTTATAGTCGATTTTTTTCACACCAGTTAAAAGTGTTTCGACTTTTAAGTTGTTTTGCTTAGCACGTAATTTTTCTTCTGAATATAAGCAAACCCAATAAAAACAAACGCGGGCCTACAATAGAATTAAATTTGGATATAGCGAATAAATTGAATTAACGATAACAACAACATAATAATAAATCATGCTTACATTATCCTTGATTACAATTTCTATATTGACGTGATCTTCGACCAAAACGTTGATTGCGCACGGTAAAATGTATTCAGTTTCTTGGCTTCCATATTCGAGATCCATCTTATACTTTACCTTTTGAGTCGATGTTCTTATCTACAAAATTAAAATTTATATATTTATTATACGACTTTGATTCGGTCAATAATGTTTGTCCGATACTTACTACAATTTTTAGCGTCGACTTCCAATTGTGTAACAAAATGCCGAGTTTGTACGAATTTGGAGGTACTTGGAATATGGGTATCGTTAACTAAGATATAATTATTATCTGTTATATACAACGTCACAAAATTAAGCTACTGTCTTGATAACAAGATAAATACCTTATTAGGACCAGAAAGTTCTAAATGATCCAAATGCCTATTAAAATTAATGATAAATTTAGTAAATATGTCCGCGTGGACGATAATAATACTTTACATACTTTTTGCATTTATTGGTGTCTTCAATATGACTTTCAAACGC